ACGGGCTATGGTGAGCCCGTAACTTACCTGGCACAGGAGCGGGACAAGTAGCACGAGCTATGGTGAGCCCGTAACTTACCTGGCACAGGAGCGGGGCAAGTAGCACGGGCTATGGTGAGCCCGTAGTGGACTTACCTGGCACAAGAGCAGTGCTGTGTGTACGGGAGATGGTAATGGTGAATAATATTGATGATGAGTCAAATACTGGTGGTGATGAGTAACGCTGCTGAAGTGTGATGTTAACCCTGTGCTTACCTAACAGTCACTACGGGGAGTTGAGCTCTAGTTCTTCACGTCCCGCATATTATCATGCTATACATGTTGCGTTGTATTTAAACTTGTATTTTTTGACGTTCACAGTGCTGTATGTGTGTGTCATTCTACATGGTCACTACAATGACCTTGACAAAAATGACCTTGTGACCTTCACAATGACCTTTCACCACATGTTACACATCTCTTAACATACATCCAGGTCCCCATGTTCTCCTGGATCATGTGCGAAAGAGGGCGAGTGGAGACATGATCCGAACGTACTGATCATGTAGAAGATTGAGGGAATGGTGGACACGACATGATGCAGATGTATGGATCTTGACCTTTAAGATGAGGCTTGAAGATGAAAACAAGAATTTCTTTTTGTTTTTGTGTTTAAGGGTTGGGGAGGGTGGATGTGCTATGCAATTGCTGCATGCTCTGGCACTGGGCACAGCACCAGCTCTAAATACTCTGGCACTGGGCACAGCACCAGCTCTAAATACTCTGGCACTGGGCACAGCACCAGCTCTAAATACTCTGGCACTGGGCACATCATCAGCTCTAAATACTCTGGCACTGGGCACATCATCAGCTCTAAATACTCTGGCACTGGGCACATCATCAGCTCTAAATACTCTGGCACTGGGCACATCATCAGCTCTAAATACTCTGGCACTGGGCACAGCACCAGCTCTAAATACTCTGGCACTGGGCACATCATCTGCTCTGGCACTGGGCACATCATCAGCTCTAAATACTCTGGCACTGGGCACATCATCAGCTCTAAATACTCTGGCACTGGGCACATCATCAGCTCTAAATACTCTGGCACTGGGCACATCATCAGCTCTAAATACTCTGGCACTGGGCACATCATCTGCTCTGGCACTGGGCACATCATCAGCTCTAAATACTCTGGCACTGGGCACAACACCAGCTCTAAATACTCTGGCACTGGGCACAACACCAGCTCTAAATGCTCTGGCACTGGGCAAGATACCAGTGCCACATGGGCACTGGGTTCCATTCCCGTTCCCAACTTGGAACATGACTAATACATGACTACTGCCGCACTGCATCAGTCGTCCACAGTCACCACCCCCCCTGCACAAGACCAGGGGGGGGGGGAGGTAGGGTTCATCCAGCCTTTACGCAAACACTAAAGAAAACTACATCTTTCCTCAATCATGGCAGCTTTGTTTACATTTATTATACAGTTTACGCAGCCCATCCTCCAAAGAATCAAAAGTGATTCCATGCACCCGCCAAACCCCCTGTTTATGGATGAAAAACGGTTTACACACGACTCACAACTGATGACGTTTCGAATATCTCCGAAACAAGTGCTTAATTGACGATTTTTTTCCGAGCCACAACGCTGTAAATGCTTCACCCACGTACTACAAATACAAATAATCACCAACAGAATCTAAACACCTAACCTAACCTAACCTATATATGCACAATATGCTAATATATTATAATATTATATTTGAGAACGTTCCTGGTTTGAATGAACAGCATGTTAAAATTTATGAATGCGTCTGTGGGGTCGACCGCTGGATGTAATGGACTTGAGTCGAGGACGAGTTGGTTTACGTGCTTCGGAGCTTCACAACCCAAGGTTATTATTGGTATAAACAACCTCGTAGCGCTTCGGAGCTCCCAAACTGTTGAAAAACTGTAAACAAAGCCGCCATGATTGAGGAAAGATGTACAGGTTTCCGGGAACAATTTTTTTTCAGGGATATTCCTGCGCGGGCCCTAAGCCTCTGGCTGGCCCATTAAGTGTTGCTTGTTTCTGTTTTACTTGGGCGGAGTAAACTGCCATCAAATATATCTTAAATCCAATTTAATCACCAGGTAGTGTCACCAAACAGGGCTCAGATCACGGGCCATAGTGATCATGATTTTTTCAGTAGGAATGAAGCTTATAACGATTGGTCATACTGCACAAAGCTGTATTTCAGATTTCGCATCCCCTCGTATGGGGGCCTCATAGCCTGGTGGATAGCGCGCAGGACTCGTAATTCTGTGGCGCGGGTTCGATTCCCGCACGAGGCAGACGCAAATGGGCAAAGTTTCTTTCACCCTGAATGCCCCTGTTATCTAGCAGTAAATAGGTACCTGGGTGTTAGTCAGCTGTCACGGGCTGCTTCCTGAGGGTGGAGGCCTGGTCGAGGACCGGGCCGCGGGGACACTAAAGCCCCGAAATCATCTCAAGATAACCAAGATAACCCCCCCTCCCCCCTGTCGTCTGGGGGAGTGTGTGCATCTATTTATGAAGCACTTACCTCGTGTGGCAGATACATGCCACACGAGGTAATGGCCTCGTGTGCAAATTGCCTCATTATTGCCTGTGAGGTCCTCCGAGGTAATAATTAATGTGGCAGTCAATCCTAGCGCGTTCGTTTGGCTGCTGGTTAATTGATTCAGCATAAAAAGGCACTCGCTTGTCGAGGCGGGTCATGCGGCCCAGAAATGCTTAGCAGCTGCACATAGATTCAATCCAACATACAAGAAAAGGACATATAAGGAATAATGTCAGGCTGTGTTTATACAAATTCTCAGGCTGTGTTTATACAAATTCTTAGGCTGTATTTATACAAATTCTCAGACTATTTATACAAATTCTCAGGCTGTATTTATACAAATTCTCCTCGAGACAAGAGGAGAAAGCTGAAATGTTTGAAAGAGGAGACTAAAGAACACCCTAACAGTTGATAAGGTAAGGAAGCAGCTTTGCTTAAGGAAGCTTTCCAGACGCTGGAAACTACCTGTATTAAACAAGTACTGTAATATGAACCCCGTTTATTAAAACTGGTAAATCCAAAAAAATTCTGCAAATCTTGTCCGTGAACTAGGAAGTTTTACCTGCTATGGAAAAGCTGAGGAAACTGGACCCCGACACTCTCGAAAAAGGGGAAGGGTAATAGGAGACATGATTAGCATATACAAGATTTTTCGAGGCAGTGATAAAATGGACAAACACGAAATGTTGAGTCTGAACAGGGGTAGAACAAGAGAACTTGGGTGAAAACTAGAAAAGTGGAATATTTCAATTGCTTCCGGTTTTCCTTGCTTCTTATCAGACCTGCTCTTGAAACCTTGTATGGAGTTAACCTCAAACTCCTCACCTTTCACCTCTTTCCCTTTGCTCACTTCTATTATATTAATGCTTTTCTACATCCGGCTACTGAAAGGCGAGACCCAAAACTGAAGCTTGACATGTGAGCACAAAAATGACGAGTACACACACACACACACACACACACACACACACACACACACACACACACACACACACACACACACACACACACACACACACACACACACACACACGTGAGGGGGGGGGGGGGTTCTGGTAGCTGAGGAGACAGTGCGCGGTATTCGTAATCCTGTGGCCCGCGTTCGATTCACGGCGCCGGCAGGGACAAATGGTCAGAGTTTTTTTTACCCTGATGCCCCTGTTACCTAGCAGTAAATAGGTACATGGGAATTAGACAGCTGATACGGGCTGCTTCCTGTGTGTGTGTGTGTGTGTGTGTGTGTGTGTGTGTGTGTGTGTGTGTGTGTGTGTGTGTGTGTGTGTGTGTGTGTGTGTGTGAGACCGTGACCTCACCTAGTTGTGTTTGCATGAGTTGAGCTTCGGCTGTTTGGTCCCGCCTCTCAACTGTCAATCAACTGGTGTACAGATTCCTGAGCCTATTAGGTTCTTATCACATCTACACTTGAAGCTGTGTATGGAGTCATCCTCCACCACATCACTGCCCAATGCATTCTACTGTGTGCGCGCTCGCGCCGGCGCGTGTGTTGAGGGGAATGGTAAGAAACGAACTACAGTACACAACAACTTAGAAACAATAAAGCACCCAGAAATCAGAAGTAAGACAAACGTGTTCCCATTTTTTTTTAAGAAAAGGACAGACAGACGAAAGGCGTTAAATTACCCGTCAATGTCCCTGACAGGCATCTCCTGCAAGGTCCGGCAAGAAAAATAATCTAACGCAGAGTAGCGAAAAATTTCGAGAAAACAGAATTTGTTGTCGACAAGCTGCGAGTAATTAACCCTTTTGAACAATAACTTGAGGTGGGAGGTGTATTGAGCCCAACTGAATTCATGTTTTAGTAGACATGGCATGACGTTGAATATTTTTTTAGGGCAATACCAAATATCTGAACGTTTAGGCGAGGTGGAGAGCTAATTCCTCTCTTCCTGCAAGTACTAATGGTAAGCACTAATATGCAAGTATGATTGATGAAGATTAAGCCACCCAAAAGGTGGCACGGGCATGAATAGCCCGTAAGTGGTGGGTGGCCCTTTTGAGCCATTACCAGTATCAGTAGATGATACTGAAGATCTGTGGAGGTGCGGCTGCACCCTGCGTGACGGGAGATGTCTCCCGTGTATGCAAGTACGTTACTCATCAATTATATAACCCTTACCACAAGATAACGACCCTTACGGGCTATTCATGCCCGTGCCACCTCTTGGGTGGCTTAATCTTCATCAATCATCATAACGACCCATTTTCATCACTGGAGACATCTCCCGTCACGCAGGGTGCAGTCGGATCTCCACAGATCTCCAGTATCATCAATTGATACTAGTAATGGCTCAAAAGGGCCACCACTTACGGGGCTATTCATGCCCGTGCCACCTGTTGGGTGGCTTAGTCTTCATCAATCATCATAACGACCCATTTTGAGCAATTGTATTACTAAGTGTGTTTACTCACCATGGCGTTCCTGACGGTAATGAAGATCGTGTTGACGTCTCCGTCCTCCTCCTGGATGTGGAGAGTCTCCAGCTTTTTCCCGTGGGGGTTGAACAGGTTCACGTTGTTGCCCACGTGACCCAGGTCGTAGTAGGTGACCGCGAACTTCACTTCGCCTCCCAGAGACTCGTCGATGTTGAAGTACCCGGTTGAGGTGCTGCTGATGCCCCCTGGAAACTCCTGTAAGAGAGTAAGGATGGCGTGATAATCTTAAGATACATTTATAAAATTTATTCATTAGTGGAGATTGAAATGGGTTAACTTTTAGAAAGGAGAGAATTCTGGCGACGCAGAGCCGTCTTGGTTGTTTCAATTGTTTTGATCCTGTTAGTGATATTTGCAGGTATTTACAACCCATAACGTTGATCACCGTAGATACTGGTTCATACAGGGCTCCCAATACAGTTATCCGGGCATTGAATGCTAATTTATGAAGTTAGTCTTCCGCGAACACTGACATTAGACAGTTGCTACGGGCTGCTTCCTGGGGATGTGTAATAAAAAGGAGGCCTGGTCGAGGACCGGGCCGCGGGGACGCTAAGCCCCGAAATCATCTCAAGATATACCTGGTCTAACGTAACTTAACAATGTCTAAGCGTGTTTAAATGTTAATTACGGGACCTATAAAATGCTTACCTTGGGTAAAGCTTAATTGTGTAGGGAGGAACTGTTCTATACTTATGAGTTCATTCTCACTCATTGCAATCTCCTACCCCAGCATCCCTATTCTGCGTGGTCCTATCCTCATTCTGCATGATCCTATCCCATGCGCAACATTCCCAGAGTCCTATGTTCATATTTACAGCATTGACATCCCACACGGGTCTATCCACATATGTCTCTCTCACAGCCGGCCAGTACAACACGTCCCTGCCGATTGATTGATTGATGAAGATTTAAGCCACCCAAGTGGCTGGCAGAGGCATGTAAACGCCCCCTGCCAGCCTCCACAGATCACTTACGGGGCTATTCATGCCTGTGCCACCTCTTGGGTGGCTTAATCTTCATCAATCAATCAATCTCCACAGAGAAGCTCCTTATTCCATACACGGCTCTCATCCCATCTCTTCTATCTCTTTCCCTCTCTACATTTGCCGTGAATTTGAGAGTATTCCTCTTGCTGATCGTAGAGATCATATTCCTCTTCCAGTTTATCTTCACATTTCACGTCACATAGAAACCTAATTTTGTGAGCTTATAACGCCAGAATTTTGGTCATGCGAGATGTTCTTAAAGTTGATGTGGTAGCCGGCTGCGTCCGGGTCTCTCTCTCTCTCTCTCTCTCTCTCTCTCTCTCTCTCTCTCTCTCTCTCTCTCTCTCTCTCTCTCTCTCTCTCTCCTCCCTTTCCCTTCCGCTCTAAAATCTCTTGAAAATGTAATGTTATGGAGCATGAAAACTGATAAATAACTAAGGAAAACACCCTCCACTGTCATACTTCATGGAAATTGCACGGAAGAAAGGGGGGAGGGGGTAAAGATGGCCCTGGTGCCAACCCCAACTGACCTTTGACACAACTATAACCCCCCCCCCCCGCCCCCGGCCATATGTCGTCTTGGAAAATTGGGTGAGACTATCCTCTAGCGTCTGGCCTCGACCCCTCACACAGACATTCTCTCAAAAAGATAATTATAGCTTTCAACATTGCGGGTTCTTGACTACTATGCATTGCGATGTTAATTAACAGATAATTTAAAAGAAAAAATATGATGTTTTTTCTTGCTAAAGTGTACGAAATGTTTATGGCACTTGAAAATGTCTTTTTCAACACTTGTCTTTTCATGAGTGTTCGTGTACAGCTGTTCTGTATGTGTTCGAAATAATAGATCATTGTAGTAGACAGGTACACATAGGCAGGCAAGATAAAGCGTAGGAGACGACAGTTACAGACACGGGAGACATCTCCCGTCACGCAGGGTGCAGTCGCACCTCCACAGATCTCCAGTATCATCTATTGATACTGGTAATGGCTCAAATGGGCCACCACTTACGGGCGTATTCCAGGGACCATAGGATTAAGGACTTGCCCGAAACGCTACGCGTACTAGTGGCAGTAAAATAGTACAGTCGTCTGCCACGGGCTGCTTCCTAATGGTCGAACACACTAAAGCCCCGAAATCATCTCAAGATAACTCAAAAAAAAAAAAAAAAAAAAAAAACGAGGATTCGAACCTGCGTCCGAGAGCATTGTGATTCACGATATGTGATGTGTGTGTAATACTGGAGTGAAGTGGTTACGCCCCCGCCCTCCACCCTCACCCCCTTGTTGCCGCTCCCCGACACCCACCTTCTTATGTATGAGCAGCGGGAGCTTCTCTGGGTCCGGGATGAAGATCCTGAGGGCGGCGTAGAGGGCGTCCATCAGCCCCACCATCATCGTCACCTTGCTGTCCGTCCCTATACCTTCGTCCAGCACGGCGAATGACTCCGTTCCTGCAAGAGAGAGAGAGTCACGTCACCGCCATGGGGGTCAGGTCAACCTACGAAGGAGGAGGGACTGGCTAGCATATGGGGTCAGGTCAGCCTGCGGTGAGAGACTAGCACATATCAGGTCACCCTGCGGGGATTGGTGGGGTCACGAGGTCAAACTCAGATGTGATTTTTGATGACTGAATGAACAGTCACTTGTTCCATCCCCCCCCCCTCCCAGCAAGTACAGCTTCACGAGAACACTCTTGGTGTACACTTAAGCTTGTCTTTTGCTTTGTCAAAATTAGGTCGATAACTTTTTACTAATTGCGTTTGGTGCAAGCACTTGTAAACTGATTGCAATATTCCATTACTTTTGGCGATAGTCGTGCTTTTAATGCAAGCAAAGAAATTAAAGTACATTCATAAAAAATTAAAGAGAACCCTTGCAATAATGTTTTTAACTTAATGTGAATACCATACCTCAGATGTTCATTCCAGTACCCATAATACCCATGGTGTACTCTTGTCGTTCACTTCAGTAACTAAAATACTCATGGCGTTTCATTTGTATTTTCTTTAGCAAACAAAAAAAATCACTGTATAAATGTACAGCTTGGACGTGTATCACTCGCCGCCCCGTACCGCCATCAGCCAGGTGGGGGTTTTAAATATATAATATACTAGCTGTACCCGGCCACGCGTTGCTGTGGCTCAGCAACGCGTGTGCTTATCTGAGCCACAGCAACCTTCCCCCGTCCCCTCGTCCTCCCAACTATTCCCCACTTCCCTGTCCCCTCGTCCTCCCAACTATTCCCCACTTCCCTGTCCCCCTCGTCCTCCCCACCATTCTCCCCTGTCCCTTTGTCCTCCCCACCACTCTTCCCTGTCCCTTTGTCCTCCCCACCAACCCCAACTCCAGCGTCCCCTCGTCCTAACCATTCCCCACTTCACCGTCTCCTCGTCCTCTAAATCATCTCTCACTCTCTCGTCCCCTCGTCCTCCCTACCATTCCTCCCTCCCCCGTCCCCTTGTCTTCCCCATTCCCCTGTCCCCTTGTCCTCACCGTTCTCCATTCTCCTTGTCCCCTCGTCCCCACCATCCCCAACTCTCCCGTCCCCTCGTCCTCCCCACTATTCCCCACTCCCTCATCCGTTACATTCCCAAATGATCTGATGTTCCCATCAGAAAATTGGGAACATCAAATGATCTGATGTTTCAATAACTGAAATATAATTAAAAGTTAAAAAAACGAAATGAAAAACAATGAAAAAAAAAATAAATATACTCACGAAATGAACGGTATGTTAAAACACAGCTCAATTCCAACACAATGTCACAAAATAATTAAATGAAAATGAAAATAATTCGAACTCTATGAAATTTCCATTGATCAATGAAATTGGAAACATTGAAATGGAATCGTAACATATTTAGTATAGCGTATGTTGCTATTATATGCAACAGATGGTGCTGTTTAAAAAAAAAGCATGTTTTTACTGGTCACAGGTGTGGCATATATATAGTAGGTATATAAAAACACACCGTGTATTTGAATGGAAAGTTGTGTCAAAATTTCAAAGCCATCAGTGAAGAACTTTCGGATATTACAGCGTGTGTTGCTCTTACGTCCAACAGATGGCGATGTTGAAAAAAAACATGTTTTTTTTCCTGTCACAGGTGAGGCAGGTATATAGTAGGTATAAAAAAAACACGCGCCCATTTGAATGCAACGTTGTGTCAAAATTTCAGAGCAATCGGTAGAGGTTTCGAAGATTTTCCTCTCATGCAAAAAACAAAAAACACAGTTTTACAAAAAATCATGTTTTTTCTCGTCACCGACGTGATATCTATGCAGTATGTATACAAAAACCCGCTCGGATGCGAATAGAACGTTGTGTGAAAATTTCAAAGCAATCGGTGAAGAACTTTTGGAGATTAGCGATTTTGAACAAACGAACATTTCCATTTATATAGATTTTGATACACGTGTAATGTGCAATTTATTTAAGTCCTAACCAACGTGTTATCGCCAGCACATGTTGCACAGGGGATTACTGGAGTAATTAGTCAGCCTCCAGCTCCACATTTGTCACACTACAATATTGTACATAAAAAAATATGCAAGGTATTAAATTTCTGATTATTTTGTAAAATAATGCATGATTTGTTCAAACATTTGGATTATAATTCAATACAATGTTAAGTTATCCTGATATAGCGTAACGTATAAGACAACCGGATTATATATGTGACACAACGCATAACAACACTATCAGGTGTTGTTGTTATGGACTCGGTTACTAGGAACAAAATGTTCCAAGTAGCACGGGCTATGATGAGCCCGTAGCTTACCTGGCACAGGAGCGGGGCTGAATGAGTGTGACACACACAGGTAGACACGTCATTAAATGTCAAGTTTTCACATTATGGTATTATTAAATCTATCCTTGAAGATATTTTTCTCCTGGAGCGTCTTTGATATGTTAGTTGGTGAGGCCTGTATGCCAAGACAGCCTTCACACCCGTTCATGGACTCTTGAATGTATAACATAAGAATGAAGAGAATTGAAGAAGGCCTATTGGCCAATACTATTACGCTTCTATTTATATATGCACCCAAACTCATTCATAAATATCTAACCTACGCTTGAAACAATCACGTAATACCTCGTCTATTATGTTACCGCTATTTTTTTTAATAATCCAACAGTCCTGTTTCCAAACCAGTATTTACCCAGGTCGTTCCTTCTCTAAACTTGTTCAACGATCTGTTATTAAAGCTCTATTTTGTGTTGATATATTTAAAATCTTTGTTTAATATCCCGTCAGCCAGCCTGCGGCCTGAGTCCTACAGCTTGGTGCTGGCTGCAACATTAACTGGGAACTTTGTTCTTATAAACCAATATTTTTGTGACTTCCTAGTGATTTAGCAAGACATGTTGAGCCAGACGTGTAAAATGTGATATACGTTGACCAAAAAAATTCATATATTATAAGAGGTGATATTTCTTGAGTGCAGTAAGATAGAATCTGTTGATATGAAATGAAAAAAACAGATCTTTTAATAATGAATTATAAGTAAACCTATGACTTTGTTTATACGTTTAACAGTATAAGCGAAGCACATGAGCATTGTTTACAATCGATAAGCAGTCTAAGACTGGTCAATTAACTGGTTGATGTCAGTAGCATGAATGATGATTGTCACGATTGAGTAAAGGTAACCCTCAAGCGTGCAAATCGGAAATTTCCTGTGCAATGTAAAATGTATATGTAAATGGGTGTTTGAGGTTGGAGGGCATAGGAATAGGGGCTAGCCTCATCCAACTTGGCTCCTGGTTCCTGTGGAGTACCTGCCCAACATGGTTGTGGTCGGGGGCTTGGCAGAAATTAAATGATTACCACTCGGCATGGTGCTAATATGACCCCCACAACAAATTTTCCAATGTAGCTGGACTCGGTATTAAATTTTGTATTCCAGGCTACATGCTGCCTCTAATGTCAGTTTTCTACGCTTTGTGTGTATCTATCACCGTGTTTCCTGTTTCTCTGTGTGTAGAGACATGATCGAGGTGTAGAGGACTATTGTGGGAGGCATTGGGTGGACTGGTGTTGGGAAAGGGAAAGTATGAAGTCATAAATACACATTTCAGGCAGTGAAAAATAATTTTTTTTATAATGACCAAATTGTTTATTTAATTTTGCAGATATGTGATTAATGTTATTAAACTAAGGATAAATGGAAAACAAAATCGTGATTCCAGTTATATTTTAGCATTCGTCATGGGGTTCTTATTTGCACCGTTTCAAGGGGCACTCGTTTCACTTCTGCCAGGTCATGTTGGGCAGCAACCCCACAGGAATCAGGGTGCCAAGTTGGGTGAGGCTAGCCCTAAGCTTCTGGCCTCCAACCTCGAACACACAGACTTTTTAATGTGTGTATTGAGGGGGGTTGGGGGGGGGGTTGGAAGGGTACTTAATAGCCAGAGTTTCCTAACAAGTCGAATTTTCGTGAAATATTAAATTTTTCCAAAATTTGTTCTTGTGAAATTATAAAGTTTTCATTATATAATATAGGATTGCAATTTTATGTTATTTGAGTCATAACATAAATATTTTATCAAATCTAACCTAACTTGTAAGATTAACTGTAGTTGTAACAGTAAAGTTTAATCATTCTTAAAGTGATTAATCTAAGTGACAACATTAAAATGAATCATTGCATCAATCTAACTTCAATAACGTGGACTATTCAATTAACCAGAAAGACACCATTAACCTAATAATATGATTAACACGAATCATTAGATTTGCCCGAGTAACCGGATTAAAAGGAGCAACTGTGTTAAACTGTTGATTACCCGGATGTAGTGGACTAGTCGGCATATTAACATGAATAACAATCATATCTGTCTTACCCCGGGTAGCCGTGTTAAATGAATTATCTTTTAACAACTTTGTTTTTGAGATCTTGATTATTACAACACTGTGGAAAGCGATACAAGAGATAATGTGTGATAGTAACCGTCAGATGAAGTGATATTCACATGACACTCCGGCCAAGTAAATGTTGAACAGGAATTGTAGTTATGTCACTAGAATACATTGAACAAGGACAACGAGTTTCTACCCCATATGAACCCGGTATGAGACCCCATATATGGGAACTATCCCATATATGGGAGCCGGTGGCTGAGCGGACAGAACACTGGACGCGTGATCCTGTGGTTCCGGGCGCCGGCGAGAAACGATGGGCAGTGTTTCTTTCACCCTGATGCCCCTATTACCTAGCAGTAAATAGGTACCTGGGAGCTAGTCAGCTGTCACGGGCTGCTTCCTGGGGCTGGAGGCCTGGTCGAGGACCGGGCCGCGGGGGACACTAAAAAGCCCCGAAATCATCTCAAGATAACCCCCTGAGAACAGCCGCTGGACTGTTGCAGTGAGAAAGAAGGGTTTCGAGAATTTAAAGGTTGTGAACGATCTCGTAAGATATATTTTAGAGATAAATAGTTTAGAGTTAC